ATTCTATGAAATGGTAATGAAAGTGCCAAGGAGCCTAATGAAATATCCTAATGAAAATTCTAAGAAATGGTAATGAAAAAGCGCAGGAGCCTAATGAAATATCCTAATGAAAATTCTATGAAATGGTAATGAAAAAGCACAGGAGCCTAATGAAATATCCTAATGAAAATTCTAAGAAATGGTAATGAAAAAGCGCAGGAGCCTAATGAAATATCCTAATGAAAATTCTATGAAATGGTAATGAAAAAGCGAAGGAGCCTAATGAAATATCCTAATGAAAATTCTAAGAAATGGTAATGAAAAAGCGCAGGAGCCTAATGAAATATCCTAATGAAATTTCTATGAAATGGTAATGAAAAAGCACAGGAGCCTAATGAAATATCCTAATGAAATTTCTAAGAAATGATAATGAAAAAGCGCAGGAGCCTAATGAAATATCCTAATGAAAATTCTAAGAAATGGTAATGAAAAATCACAGGAGCCTAATGAAATATCCTAATGAAAATTCTAAGAAATGATGATGAAAAAGCGCAGGAGCCTAATGAAATATCCTAATGAAAAGTCTCAGAAATGATAATGAAAGGGCCAAAGAGCCTAATGAAATATCCCCATGATATCTCATTATCCTTGTCTATAACTTATGAAAGATTCCAGTGATAAATTGAATGAAATAGATGGGCAATCCTAATGAGATGCCTTTCATAAAACCTGTGGCATTATACACAATGGCTCTTGGACAGTTGTCATAGATTAATCATAAAAGTGGTAGCCACCAGTCCTGATATGCCATCCGATCTTTCAGGATGTTTAACACGCCTTCCACTTCTCGACGAAGACGGCGGGCGCCAAGCGGCGTTCCCTCCGCCAAGTTGTCCAAGGCTGTAAGATCCGTGACATTATCAGGTGCTCATCATTGAAGTATTCATTTTCAGCAACGCTTCTGCGCCAGGAGGCACGTACGCAAAATAACCAGAAGGGATCATTACTTTTGTTGGTATGAATCGATCGGTACTGAAAAAATCGATGGGCCGCCGCCGCACCCTGTGACCATACGGCTGCAGACTGGGGACCTATACGTCCACCGCGTTACTGGCACGTCGCAGGTCCAATATTTTTGCCGAAACAGTGTACTGGAAACCTGGGAAGAGTATGCCATGGGGATGGAACAGCATTTTCAGGGTGAAAAGTATGTTTTATCATCGAATTCAGGCGGTCCAGTCTGGGTTTTGCCATCCACCAGGGGGAGGCACCAGGCCGCGCACCTCAGGAAGCAAATTTCTCCCTCCACTTTTGATTCGATCTCAGCTGGCAGTTCGCGCCGATGAATTAAATAAGTAAGACATTACATGTATAGTGCCACAATCCACCGAAGTTGATCAATTCATTTGTTATACCACTTTCCCTATGAGCGAGCGTATATTGAGTGGCTGTCATAAGTTCTTTTTTCGTGACATCTTTTTTGTTGTTTTCTTGGAATCTCTTTCAACTTTCAATGGTGATCATTCCCTCTCATGATTTTATCACGATCACGCAGATCTACACGATGTCTAACAAACGGTAATCGGATGGCAGGAAAAAAGGATGGCAGGGTAGATAGGGAGGTAGATAGTAGGCTGCGGGCGGTGAGTCTGCGACGGAGGCCTATCGACCCACTGCGAGTCAGTTGGGGTTGTTAGAGGCTTAGAGCAGAAGAGGGGCATGTTGGCAGGCCATAAACTCAGACTTCTTACTTGGACTCGTTTCATCGCAACCACCGATCGCCTCATCTCCACCAAGGAGGAAGTCACGATGCTCCGCAATCGTTTCGATGAGGAGTTAGGACAGCAAGCGGCTGCGGCGAGGAAGATGATGAATATGTTGACGTCGTCCAAGGATAGGTCCGCGGGGAAAGAAGAAAAAGCGGTCTGCCCTCGCGAACAGTCTGCCACACTCTGGTGATGGAGCCGCGAATGGTACTTCCCAGACCAATCGGGCCCGCTTCCGCTACGATTCTTGTCTGCTGAAATCCCACCACGGCCAAACGTCTCAGCCAATGGATTTTTCACGTTCTAGAAGTTAGAACAACAAGACACCGCAGTCATGGACACTGAAGGAAACACAAGTCAGGGGATGGACAGAGAAAATTCAGAATATCACATACAGCATGACCTATCAGATCGCGCGGAGATGGGAGAAACTACAGAGCGGTAGCGGGGTAGAACTTGGGTAGAACAATAATGCAAGGTGGATGAACACATGACCGGCCCGGGAAGTGAGTCACACGTGTTTTGTTCACAAGCCTTTCTCTTCAGTGCAACTTCAGCGTTACCACATCGACAACTTGATCCACGGCTCGTCGCAGCACTGAGCGGATTCGCGCTTTGCTACACTTCATGGCCTCATCCTTCGATGCTCGTAACCAAGATTGAAAAATTTGTATGCACCGGGTGAGTCCACGGATATCTCGAATCATGGATCATCGGATACACGGATACCTGAATACATGGATTCGAGCTTCACATGGTGATGTTCCACGGCTCGTCGTCACAGCACTGAGCGAATTCGCGCTTTGCTGCACTTTTGGGCCTCATCCTGGGATTCTCGAATTTCTTACCAAACAGGATAAAAAACTTTGTGGGCACCGCGTAAATTCTCACTGGCATTGCAGTCCATGGATGACTGGATCTACGGATGACTTGATCATCGATCTTTGGGCTCCCTGGGGACTGAGCGGGATGGGACAGGCATGCATCCTGGTTTGACAGATATCCACAACTCAACGTTTTTTATTCAAATGGTTGCTAAACCAACTCCGGATTCATGGATATTTCTTTTCATGATTTATAGTCTTTCCTCTCAACAAGGTCGAGCCATGGATTCTGAGAAAGGCGATTGGGGCCAAACATCTGATTCCACGGTTTTTGAAGATTGGCCTGCAGTATCCCCGACGTTTGTATAGGAAATCCGCTCGTCCTTCGGGGGCATTGAGCGAAGGAGTGACCGTCACGATGTCACGTTCAACTCAAAGTTCATTGTATGAACCTTGTAAGTATTCGCCTTTCCTCTGGGATGAACGTGAAACATGAACCCAGCATTCTGCAGGCGCGACCTCGCATCTTGTTTAGGTGATCTCGAGACGCATTGGCCCCTTTCAGTGTGTGTTTTGGCCTCATTCCTCCGAAACAACACAATGGTCAGTTCCTTCCTCCATTCTTCCTTCCTTCTTCATCTCATCACTGGACGTAGGACTGGGCCACTGATTACATGGGAGCATCTGCCGCATCGATGGAGCACGCGAGCGGGTGGACTAGGTATCAACTTGGTCGCGGCCGATCCGGCTACCTTTCAAGACCAGGATTAGGTACACATTTCGTTATAGAGAGCGTGTAAGCGCTGACCGGTCTGCAAAACTCACAGATAGAGGCGCAGGCGCAAGATAGGGTGCATAGGATATGACAGACGAAGCCTGTGGTTACATTTTGATCGGATTAGCGTGAAACGATGCTCAAGCCAGTAGCACTCAAATCTCCGAGTCGTGTCCACACAGAGAGTTCTCATTTTCCTTGATTGAGGTTGTTAGCATGCGTGAATGTCTGGATACGTGCATAGGTGGATCTCTGTATACGGGGATCCATGGATTCGGGATGAGGTCGAGTTCTGTTCTGACGATTCTTTCTCTCCAGAAATGGTCGACAACTTGATCCACGGTTCGTCGTCACAGCACTGAGCAAATTCGCGCTTTGCTGCACTTCTGGGTCTCATCCTTGGATTCTCGAATATGAAAGCGAAAGATGAACCCAGCATTCTGCAGGCGCGACCTCGCATCTTGTCTAGGTGGTCGCGAGACGTATTGGTCCCTTTCACTGTGCCTCATTTCTCCAAAACGACATTGTCCATTCTTTCTTCCTTCTTCTTCTCATCACTGGACGTTGGGCTGGGCCACTGATTACATGGGAGTATCTGCCGCATCGATGGAGCACGCGAGCGGGTGGACTAGGGATCAACTTGGTCGCGGCCGATACGGTTATCTTCCTTGACCAGGATCAGGTGCGCATTTCGATTATAGAGAGTGTGCAAGCGCTGACCGGTCCACAGAACTCACAGATAGACGCGCAGCGCAAGATAGGGTGCATAGGATATGACAGACGAAGCCTGTGGTCAAATTTTGATCGGATTATCAAATCTCCGAGTCGTATGCACCCAGATAGTTCTCACTTTGCTTGATCGAGGTTGTTAGCAAGCGTGGATGTCTATATTCGGATCTCTGTATACAGGGATCCATGGATCCGGGATGAGGTCGAGCTTTGGTCTGACAGTTCTTTGTCTCCAGAAATGGTGCTCCTGGGAAATTGGTTCACTAGGGCGGTCGTGTAGGCACCGAGCGAATTCGCGCTTTGCCCAACACGTCATCTCATCTTTGGCCACTGAGCAAATTCTCACTTCGCCCAGAGTTGAAGATGCTGATGCAGCGGCTGATCCCCGATCAAAGCTGAACGGCGGAAAATGGCGTTGAAGCTTTCTTCAAGATCAGTGCTCAAAGAATGCATGTCTCCACTCGAGCTGGACGGCAAGGTTACCTTCGGCCATTCATATGCCAGAAATCATAGCTATGGTGTTCACACTGAAGTCTGACCATCTACATGGGTCGTTTATCAGGCGCGGCAGAACCGGATTCTCGTTTTCATCCACTCTATCAGAGAAATCACAACGACCACCAGGGGAGGACCGGTGTTGAGCCGATTAACAAGTCCGCCGAACACGCACATTTCAAAAGAGTTCTCCTCGAGCTGCTTGCGTCGTCAATCGTTTCAGCCTTCTCTTGGTTTCTGCAATCCAATCAATCGTCCGATTTGGTCATCCCGTTGAACACTGCAGAAGGGTCAACGGGCGAGGCTGTTCATCTTCCTTCGTGTGCCAACTTCCCATTACACTAGGGTTGACGGCAGTCTGGGTTGTAGTCGAAATTATTGATGACAGTTTCTGGACCGTTCCCATCGTTCTCTCTGTCTCCACTCCTAACGCAGGGCAGCGAATGTCAAGTCTCGGGGTTGCCTTCACCCCCCTATGCACGAAAAGATCGATTTCATGACTCTCCCAATTTTGGCGACGGTATCTGCGACGAGTTTTCGGTCAGAGCCTTTCAATCGAGGTGAATTATCTAGTTCACTTCTTTGGCAGTGCTACAGGCTCTATGCTTCGACAGGCCAGAGATTGATAAGAATACTTAGACTCGCGACCAGTACCTTACGCGGACCCTTCCCTTTTCGTACTACTGGCAAACAGCACCAACATCTACCACAACAACACCAACGACTACCAAAAATAGGAGGCGGAGTGTGAAAGGCAAGGGTACGTTTCACACAGAGTGCAGCGGAGTGTGAAATGGCTGGTCACGAGCCTAAAGAATACTAGTGCTGGGTCATGACGCGCCCTGTCGACGCCCTTGCCAAACATCATCAAATAGATTTCCTTCGAGCGCGGACTCAAACCTTTGTACTTTGGATGGATGGACACTTTGTGTCTGAAGAAAATGTATCGCCTACCGACGTTCTACAATGTTAAGCCCATATGTTCTCTAAATCAATACTACGAGCTAGCCGACTAGATCAGAAGGCCGGACTTTGTTTCGTATCAATCTCAAGCTAGGAAATTTCAGACACAAGGTCCCCACGCATTTTGTCTGTCCCCAACATTCGTTTTTGAATCAGGCGGGCATCCGCGGCCTTACCACCCCGCCCTTTTCATATGAAGCTTTTCGACATGGAGGTTCAAGGGGTTCTACGTCAAAATAAGGCGGTTGCCGACTATTTCCACCCATAGAATGGCACCTGTACTCATCATTGCTCAAGCACCAACGGATGTGCCCACCGAAGAAGAAACAGAAGAAACAAAGTGCTGGTACCAGGCAGATGCCCAGGTGGCAAACCGATATTGCAAGGGCCATGCAGGAGATGGATGCATACACAGAAGATGACCTCGAAGGGGAGATCACGGTGACTGCTGGAAGTGGTGATGGACCAGATGGACCGAGAGATGGTGATGAAGATGGAGCTGACAGTGAGGAGCTGCCTCTGTAGCAATTTGTGTGCTTTGTTCTTGGTTATTGTAGTAAATTGTAGACTGTGATCGTTAATAATAATTCAGCCCCGTTGGAGTCACCAGTGGGCGATTCAGAAAATGAAGAGTGCTTTGCAATCTTCACTGAAACTTTGCTGAAACTTTGGAAAATCCAGGAACACAGATTTTGGACGAGCTATCTCAATAGGACAAGGATACATGTATGCATGGATACATGAATACAAGGATATGGGTATGCATGGATACATGTATGCATAAATATGTGGATACATGAATTCAAGGATACATAAATACAAGGATACAACATATGCACTTACATAAAAAAATGATCAGCCAAAGGGAATGCAGTGAGTACTTCAAGAACATGGATTCAATGTTGCAGAATTATGTGCTAAATGCTCTCCAGTGTGCCCCATTGAGAATATCAATTGCTTCATGGCTGATCTGCTGAGTTGACAAAAAATCAGCCCTCTATGTAGATGTATATGCACAAGAATATGTGTATACATGATACATGAATAGTGGATGACTTTCCATAAGCTTTTATTCAAGGGAATAGATTATTTCTTGATATCTTGGCTCTGTTGCTGTGTTGCGGGGCCAAATGGGGATGAAAAATATTATTCATGCCTGTTTTTACGTCTCAATAAACCTTAATCTGTTCATAGGGTCAGACCCCTCTTCATAGATTAAACTTGCTGGAATAAATGAGAATAAACAGTCCCTGGGCCTCATCCTCTCTCCTCATTGGCTGATCATTGATGCTGTTCACTGCTCCTCTTCCACACATCCTGCCCAACTCCCTCCTCCCATAAAAACAACCTTCTATTGTATTGTAAATGATAGCCTGTCTACATCAGGCACTGTAAACATTGTAATTAACTGCAGAGTACCATGCAGCACAAAGTATTGGGAACGGAATGATAAATATAATCATTTTGCTTGTGGAATGTCAACTTGAATAGATTAATCAATTAAAGTTACCTTTGATCTCTGATGCACCACCAAAATATGATATGTAGGATTAAAAACCTTACAGAAAGTCATCCAGTACAAGAATACAAGAATATGAGTATACATGGATACATATATACAAGAATATGCATATGCATGAATACAAGAATAGACATATATCTATATGTATACATGGATACATGAATCCAAGAATATGCATATGCATGAATACAAGAATAGACATATATCTATATGTATACATGGATACATGAATCCAAGAATATGCATATACATGAATACAAGAATACACATATACATGGATACAAGGATACATATATTCATGACAAGGGGGCCCAGGGATTTCAGAAACAACACAGGGTAGATTTTTTTTTGTAAGCTGTCTGTGATGTCCCTCCCCATCACTCCTTCTAAATAAGGTATGTTTTCATCCAAAAAGGGTATGTTTTCCCCACTGCTCCTCTGAAGAAATTTCTGGCTGGTGGGCCGTAAGCATGTGAACCTTAAAATGAATTGCTGCTCCCTTTTCAGGTGTAAAAATCCAGCTTTTTTCACATTTACTTTTGCCATGCAAGTTGCATGCAAGACTGAGCTGAGCAAGAAAAGTGGGAGGGATGACAGATTTTTCATTTCCCTTACACACTGACTTCCATTGTAAGGTATTAACCATTCAACTGCATTGGAGGTGCCACTGATGCATCCAGCATTGCTACATGGCCCCGGGTGTAGATTTTCGAAGCTTATATACTAAATTTTTTTAAGGCCTGCCAGAGGTCTCCCCCCCCACCTACCTCGGGTCACGGGTCGACATCCCAGGGCCCCCTTGATTCATGAATACATGAATACAAGAATACACATATCCAAGGTATACATATATATGTATCCTTGCATTCATGTACCCACATTATACATATATGCATATTCTTGTATGCAGGTATCCATGTATATGCATATCCTTGTATTGGGTATCCTTGTATACACATAGCCATGTGTTCATATATGCATACTCTTGTATTCATGTATATGTGTATACTGGCATGCGAAAAGAATGGACCACAGTCCAATTTCTGCCATTTTGGTTCTCGCAAATGGCAAACATGATGCGCACATGCAAATCCTTTATAATATATTACATGCAGATATTGGTGTTTAGCAGCATGAGTTTTGGAAAAATCAGTGGACATGTGGATGAGAAATTACCTCAGAAAATTGTTGTATCATGTTGTCACATTGGCCCTGGAAGCAAAGAAGCACAAAACATCATAATTAAAACACACAAGAGCCCCAGGATGTATCTAGAAGATTAATAATGAGTGTACAATTCTTTTGCTACCTTAAGAGCTAAGATCCAAGCAGGAATTGAGTTATAAATAGGTTTAAAAGTCCGGTCTGGTCCGGTTTTTTGATGCCCTGGGCCTTAACTGTAACCATAACCGGTCCACATTTTTCCCAGAAGTCAAAAGACCGAACCGGACCACATAAAACCGCAGTCTGCGGTCTTTTTGCAGTCTATAGACTGGTCTTGGTCTTCTTCGGTTTTAACCGGTTTAAAACCGGTTTTCTGGCCGATATTTTAAAATTATGAATGGGTAAATTTGTTAACGTGTTTCGTAGCTTTAAGAAGAGCCCAAGAACGTCAAATCCCGTTGAGAATTGGTGTTTCTATAAAAAAAGTCTTGTACATCTACTATTTTTAACGAAATTTTACATTTTTATTTATATCTTTGTCAATTCTGAACCAATTAATTCGTGCTTGGGTGCGTTTTGAAGGGTATTTAGTGGGC